GATAGGATATGGAAATCCTCAATCCTTGGATCTTCAGTGGAAGTAGTGCTCTCAACGCCGGTGTGTGCTGCCAGCCGAATAATCAATTAAGATAATGGTGTCGATGAAGGCTTCCAGGATCCTTTCCCAGACGTCCCAGGCAAGGTTATTTATATCTGTTCCGGTAATCGATACGTTTCCTGGCGAGAACTTCCGGTTAGTGGACTCGAATTTTGTGGGAGGCCCTAATGTGGGTTCTCCCCTCCAATGTGCTGGTCATTAATAATATTCACCCAATGTAACATTTTTGCCGGAATGCTACAAAATTTACCAGAACGGAGAAGAAAGTGATGCAAAAATGACAAATGAAACAGTCATTCGTCAAAATTAACTACGTTCAAGCCGATGGAAAATTCATTTAGCGACGGGGTCATGTTGAAAGGCCCTCGGCTCGGCACCCGTAATTAATCACATAAATTGACTACCCTGTTTTTGGGGTGTAAATCCTCAGAGCACTACCTCCAGCAAACATTTCCCCGGTGGCTGTGTCGTCCACACAATGTGTCTGCGCCCCGCTTATAATTGGTGTCTCCCACTGATGGCGCGCCCCAGGAGCGGCCCCTCCCCGGTGGTGGCGTCCTCCCAGTGGTGATGTGTCCCAGAGGTGGTGTCCTCCCAGAGGATGGCGTTCTCCCAGTGGTGGTGCTTCCAGTGGTGATATCTCCCAGTGGTTGAGTCTCCCCGGTTGCGGCGTCCTGCCAGTGGTGATATCTCCCAGTGGTTGAGTCTCCCCGGTTGTGGCGTCCTGTCAGTGGTGATATCTCCCAGTGGTTGAGTCTCCCCTCTGGTGGCGTCCTCCCAGTGGTGGTGTCTCCCAGAGACGGTGTCCTCCCAGGGGTGTTGTCCTCCCGTTGTGGTGCTTCCAGTGGTGATATTTCTCAGCGGTTGAGTCTCACCGGTGGTGGCGTCCTCCCAGTGGTGGTGTCCTCCAATAATGCTACCTCCCAGTGGCGAATATCAGCAGTGAATCTAAAATTGCCTGAGGCTATTTTGAGTTTACTACTGATACCCGTTTTGATAAAGCCGTGAAACCGAAATATCAATACACTTATCTTTCCATTATCCTGGTTATTCTGCCAGGACTGAGGCTTTTAGTACTGTCTTGCTTTAAAACCGTAGACTTATTAGCTTAAGTGCATGACGAAATCTTTAACTGAATTGACAGCTTTTTGTTGTCTGTTGCGTACCAATTGATAGGTCCCGATAATGTATGCAAACAGTTAGCATCATGGCCGATCAGACTCACTGAAACCAAAGCGCGCGAAAAGCGGCATCGTCAAATTAACCATGGGACACACACGATTATCCTTCCACCGGTATTCAGTTCAAGTCCCTAACCAGCTCGCCTGCACGCTGACCTCAGGTGCCATTCACACGGCCGGACGTGCGTTCTGGGGCTCCATCGAGCAAGCGGAGAGTCCTAATCCGGTATCAGTGATTGGACACCGGCGGGCGGCAGTCGGCACATCTCGTCACCTTATCAGGTGGTCAATCGCGTTGAGAAGGATATTGGCACACTGAGACCACGCTCAGTGCAAGACGCGGCCGAAATACCGTGCTCTCGTTGGTGCTAAATAATCCGTCAACACACATTAAACCAAGCTGTCACTACTTAACTCTTTAAACAAAGCTGCGGGTAACCATCACAAGGCGTAAGACGTCCGCGCCAGGATTTAGAAGCGACGCCAGTCTAGGAAGGGCATGCGCTCAGACGTTCAACCTTTTGCCGTCCGGCAACACAGCTCGATTTTAGGTAACGGACTGCATTTTTACGCTGCGTTCCAGATCTTAGTGCTACTTTACAGTGCACACATTTCGGCAGTGTTGCGTCATGAAGGGATGAATTGTTTTTCGTTAAGCACTGCAGGGAACCCGTGGCCAACATCATGCGTCCCTCTCGGTGGTTAAGTATGCTGCAATGTTTCGCTGATCCCCTCACCATGCATTAATAACTAATAATTGACAGTTTTTAAATGGCTTGTAGCATCGGCCGTCGTACTTTGCCTTCTGTGATGTTCCTGTGCAGTGAGTGTGGGAAGGCGATGCGTCTGAGGCTGGTAATTGCCCAGGTAGGGTGCCCACTGCCCACTGCCCACTACCCATACTACCCATAACCAGCCAGTTTTTTGAGGCATGTATTGTGGCGTGATTATCTGCTGATGGATCTACCGACACCGCATACAGGTACATATATAGATACCGATCCTGAAATCTACAGATTTGCGGGTTTTTAGTGGGCGCTTGTGTCCAACTGCATGATTTATATGCTCGCTGCCGTATACAGACAGTACAAGAAAGTAACAGATAGCAGGTGTAGGCAACCCTACTGATGTCTCATCTAGCATTTTTCAGCGTTCTATTAAATCGGGCTCAGAGTTGACCCGATTTACTTTTGAACATTTATAGTCACAAGTGGAGTCGGCTCAAACTTGTTAAGCTCAGGCGGAGTCAGGGACAAAATCCATTCTGCATGAATGAGTCGGAAGCAGAGCTGACGCGGCTCAACTGGAGTCAAACACATGTTGGGCCCCGTGGCGGTGTCCAGGCTCAACTGGAGTCAAGCACACGTCGGCTCTCGTGGCGGTGTCCAGGCTCAACTGGAGTCAAGCACATGTCGGCCTCCGGTGGTGGTGTCCAGGCTCAACTGGAGTCAAGCACATGTCGGCCTCCGGTGGTGGTGTCCAGGCTCAACTGGAGTCAAACACACGTCGGTCCCCGGTGGTGGTGTCCGGGCTCAACTGGAGTCAAGCACATGTCGGTCCCCGTGGCGGTGTCCGGGCTCAACTGAAGTCAAGCACATGTCGGTCCCCGTGGCGGTGTCCAGGCTCAACTGGAGTCAAACACACGTCGGTCCCCGGTGGTGGTGTCCAGGCTCAACTGAAGTCAAGCACATGTCGGTCCCCGTGGCGGTGTCCAGGCTCAACTGAAGTCAAGCACATGTCGGTCCCCGTGGCGGTGTCCGGGCTCAACTGAAGTCAAGCACATGTCGGTCCCCGTGGCGGTGTCCAGTACCCTCTCAGCCAGTGGCGAAGCTAGTATTTCGCCTCGGAGGGATTATGAATCGGTAAGAGACCCCTATTCGCCGCTTTAGGGACCCTATTCTTTTTTATTTCGGAGAACCCTCTTAGACTCTGGATCCTCTTCAGTTGTCTTGTGTGTCTCTTTACACGTTTTAAAGCCCTCCAGGCGCTTTAAACTGCACAAAAAGTACTGGGCCTTCGGTCCCAGGGGTCCCGTCAACTCCAGGGGGAGGGCCATGACATCAAAAAACCCTTGGCTACGTCACTTTCCCCTAAGGATGGAGTCCCCAGCGGAGTTGTCACCCAGTTGTGTCCCGTTGCTGGGTCTCAGCGGTAGCACCTGTCAGTGACGAATGGTAAACCCAGACTCCTTAAAGAGGCTGTGTTTTGCCAGCACCTGCCTCCTCTCCCGTCGTTCACGTCGCGTCGAGCCGACACAGAAGCGGCGTAACGAGCGGCCCCTCCCCCCTCCCCGTCCTCCTACCGCATTCCTCCGGCTTCCCTCTCCGCCGAGTATTTTGGGCGCCCGCGAGCGCCTCGTCCACACGTCCGCGGCACATATAACCTCTGCTTGTTTGGGCCGTCTGGTTCAGAGGAGCCGCCGCTATGCACCGGAGACACAGCCGAGGAGAGGCACATAGTGTCTGACACCCACGTGATGCACATGTGATAGAATGCACGTGATGCACAGGTGCGGCGCTGGAGTTTTCCATTCGCCTCCCAACTTTGAGAAAAAAGTGGGCTAAATTCGGGGAAAACCATTTTTGGAGCGCATTCTGAGAGTGAGTTTATTCATATTCCTTGTCCAGCCGCCCCCAACGTATTTTGCTGAACTACACCCCTGCACACACGGGCGAAGAATCTGGACGTTTTGAGCTGAAATGCATTCGGGAACAGAAGTAAGTTCAAGCATGTTCTTCTCATTTCTATACCAGCGCAGGCGTCCGAACAGCCTTAATTTATGCGCAACTTAACATGTTGTAGTATGTTCGGTGCTTATGTGTGCGCTGTGTAGCCATGCTTGACCTTTTGTGCGCCGTTTTTCGCTGTTGTAAATGATGCCAATATCTAAAAAACCGTAGAATGAATGGTCACAACTAGTACATACAATTAAATGAGGACTGGGACCTTCATGGAGGACCTTTCATATGCAACTGCATATGAACAATGACCGGCGAAACCCAAGGAGTAGGAGCTTCTTGATTTGGGGCTCATGATTTGGAGTCAGAGGCCGCGATCATTCTAGGTTCACTGTACTCGGGTCCCGCCTCTCTGGACACAGGCCGCGGCTCTGCTGTCACTCTGTCTGAGGCTCGGGAGCCCTCATTTTGGCCCGAGGCGCGGGCCCTTTCATTCCGCATCCTGAACATGGGGGTCCAGTCGGTCTGGATTCGGGTGGGGGTAAGGGGGGGGGGCAGGAATTTGTCAGCCTGGACTCGGGGAATATATTTGCTTGCTAAGTCGGGTCTCAGAGCTCGCGGGCATCCGAGCGAATTCCGATCTGGCTGACCGACAATGTGCCTGGCGCGGGAAGCAGGTATCCCTGCTCACCGACTCATGGTAAGGACGCGCTGCAGTCTGAAATTGGGGTGTGAAGACTCAATACGTCGTCTGAGCTGCGGAAACAAAGTCCTGTTTCGGCTCTGATCAGGGGGTAGGTATTCTGCCATCCTAGAGCGCGGGAGCGGATGGCAGTGTCGCGACCACACTGCCGGGTAACGTCAGAAGCCGCTCCCACTCCGCCGCCGCCTGGTGTCGGCCAGCTCACCTGTCCCGCACCGCTCCCCTCCCCCTCCCTCCCCCTGAGCGGCCCCCTGGGCGCCGCACATGCGCCCCGCCCGCGGCGGCGCAGCGCGCATGCGCAGAGCGCGCGCCGCCAGCTGGGACGCCTCGAGTTACACGTGGGGTTCGCGGCCGTCGGCGCTCGCAGTCCCCGCCAGCGCCCCGCCGCCCGCGCCCGCGTACCGCCGCCCTCCCGGCAGACAGAGCCGCCGCCGCCACCGCCGTGACCGCAGTGCCTCGCTCGGGTCGAACATGATGCTGATGCCCGGCGCCAGCCCGTATTCCCTGCCGTCTGCGCTGGCGGCGACCGGCAGCCCTGCGCTGACGGACTCGCCGGGCGTCTCGCAGAAGGACACCACCTTCACCAAGATCTTCGTCGGCGGCTTGCCCTACCACACGACCGACAAGTCGCTGCGCGAGCACTTCGAGGTGTACGGCGAGATCGAGGAGGCCGTCGTCATCACGGACCGGCAGTCCGGCAAGAGCCGCGGCTACGGCTTTGTGAGTACCCGCGCCGCGCGCGCCACGCTGCCTGCGGCTTTTGTCGTGCCTGGGAGCGAGGGGGAGGGCCGCGGGGTTTCAGCTCTGTTCGCCGGCGGAGGCGGCCACTCAACCATCCGTTTCCAGGTGCTACGGAGCGATGTCGTCAGCCTGCCCAGCGGTTCATCTTCCGTGGATGGTTCGCCGGCGCTGTTGTGGCACCGCGCGCCGCGCGGTCTTCCCGTCACCCGGCACCGAACTCCAGACTCCAGAGCCCCGATAAGATAGTCACGGGCCGGGCTGGCGCGACGCCGGGTTCGCGGAGGGGAGGGGAGGGGGCGGCCGCGATGTCGCGGCCGCGGTCTATCGGGACCAGGTGGGACGCTCCCACTGTTCGGCACCTCCAGACCTCGTCCCTGCCCTCTCGCTGACCCTGCCTGCGCCGGCGGCAGGACTGAAACTCGCAACCCCGGGCAAGGGCCGGCTTCGCCGTCGCGGGTTTCTTTTTCCGGCCAGGGGCTCAGCGCGCCTGGCTCAAGTATCAACATGTTTTTGTTTTGCTGATCTTCTGCTCTGATCTTTGTTCTGGCTGGTGTAGAACCCCTTCCCTGAACTTCGATCTCTCCGGTACGGCCTTTCAACGAATAAGCACTCACTACGGCCCTTGTGAGTGCGAGGATTGCAGCAACCGATGCACGGCCACGTAATTTTTGACTTATTTGTGGACGGGATTTTTGAAAATTTCTTTAGAGTGGGTAGCTGGTGGGGGTGACCGGGAAGTGTGTTGACAGTTTGGCCCCACCGATGCCGCGTTTCGGACGGCTCGCGCACCTAGTTCGCCATCTAACTTGGTTTGTGTGGCTGGGTATACAGCTGAGCAGTAGATGCGTAAAGCCGCCGCCGAGGGTGGAGTCATGCGCTGCGCAGGCGGGTCAGAGAGGTCACGTGACGTCAGTTGAGGCGCTTGCGAAACGTACGAGGCGTGTGGGGAACGTCACTACCACCATTCGATAATTGCCCTGAAATATTAACTCCAGCAGGGGAAGTGGCAACCTCGTTGCCGCGCCACGGCTGCCAACTTATTCATCCAGCACTTTGGTGATCTTCAAGTACCATTTGCGGCATATTTCTGACGATCTAATTCATCTAGTTTCATTTGAGCAAAAGGTGAGATCCACTTGTATGTCCCGGAAATGGCTGACGAACTGCGCGGGGCTGAGAAGTCCTCTATGCTCGCGATACGATATCAACCACACGAATAGAACGCAAAATAATCACGGAAGTGACTTCCGTGTGCTTTGCCGACTACAAATGCCCACCAGAGCGACCTGTTGGCGTGGGCCCGCGGCAGAATGGTCTCGCAGAGGTGCGATAAGCCAGACCTGCGCCCCTGGTGTCACAACCGGCCGCACTCCACAGCAGCTTTACGGCAGCACCATAGTTGAACTTCAGACAGTATGTCTTCAACCCCAACAATTGCCTGGCAGCAAACCTGTTAGCGATGTTATGCTTCAACTTCGGCTGGCATCGCTCCTTGACGCCACATGGCGTAACAGTCACATGGCGCCGCTGGTCAACAGTGCTGCTGTATGACGCCACATGGCGTTACAGTCGCATGGCGCCGCTGGCCAACAGTGCTGCTGTATGACGACACATGGCGTTGCAGTCACATGGCACCGTCGGTCGACAGTGCTGCTGTATGACGCCACATGGCGTTACAGTCGCATGGCGCCGCTGGTCAACAGTGCTGCTGTAAGACGCCACATGGCGTTACAGTCGCATGGCGCCGCTGGTCAACAGTGCTGCTGTGTGACGCCACATGGCGTTACAGTTACATAGCGCCGCTGGTCAACAGTGCTGCTGTATCTGAGATGCGGTGATAATCTCCGAGCGGTGCGCGGCTGACACGGGGTCCATGGTAACGGCAGAAACTCGTTTAGTTATCAAGCGAACGTCTCGCAACGATGATTTTGTTGGCGTTTGTATTTTTCCGTTGCTGGATGGCTTCCCTCAGTATTTTGGCTGTAACTGCATTCGTTGCGATGCGAAGGAGAAAATCGTGTAAAAAAGCACGCAGCTACTAATTTTTGTAACGAACACTTCGCGCGTCGCTACACACCCTTTTATGGGCCACCAGTGACCACGGGGATCATATTTTCGCTCCGGGGTTATAACTTAGTCGAGATTTGAACCCGGTGCCGTCACGTGGGAGCTGAAGTCGCTGACCACTCGGCCGCCACGCTTTATAACGTAACTTTGAGAACCCCTACAAACAGTTTTTAATGTATTAGATTGGTTATGTCATTTCTAAATCTGATGTCTTTTGGTACTATGGCCCAAATATACATATGCGGCATGGCTACCTATATTTGTCAGTAGTGCAAGTCACGAAACGATAGTTTTCATATGAGTAAACGTGTCGAACGAGCGGACCTAAAGTACGCATTCAGTGCGTCTAAGTGTACACATCACGGCAGCGGTGGAGATTATCCGTTCATTGTTATTTTAAGTGATAGGATTTACCATGACCATGAAGCAATGCTACAACCCGGTTGATAGTGTGAGTTCCATATTATTTCAGTATCGCCGACGATAATGGTATTCATGTTAATAAGTTCCATAATACTTGGGTGTTGCCGACCATGCGAAACCTTCATGTGATTGACTACCTCAACGTATGTTTGATTCTCGTCTGGTCTCGAGGCTTTTGCTCCGGCCGCTTTTGGTCACAGTTTCCGGGCAGACGAGGCTTTGCTGCTACTGCGCCTTTCCACGCCATTTAGGCAGGTTCCTGCTGACGGAAGTGTCTATGTCAATGCTCCTGCTACAGGGCGTTGTCGGAGGAGGTGCTGCACCCTTTACGCGCAACGTTGTCCGGTCGGCCCATTCCCGCACTAAAAAGCAGGGTGAAGGGAGTGACGAACTAGCTGCAACAAAGGTCCTATGACTGTTTTCACGTCCTCTGCAGTAGCGTCAAAGCTTCTGGCTGGATGACCTCTGCCGCTTCCCATCGGCGGGATCCACAGCTGGGGTGACCTTTGCCGCCTCCCATCGGCGGGACCCACGGCTGGGGTGACCTCTACCGCTTCCCATCGGCGGGATCCACAGTTGGGATGACCTCTGCCGCTTCCCATCGGCGGGGTCCGTAGCTGGGGTGACCCTTGCCGCCCCCAGCGGCGGGATCCACAGCTGGGGTGACCTTTGCCGCTTCCCATCGGCGGGATCCACAGCTGGGGTGACCTCTGCCGCTTCCCATCGGCGGGGCCCGTAGCTGGGGTGACCCTTGCCGCCCCCAGCGGCGGGATCCACCGCTAAGGTGACCCCTCATGGGCGTCAGCAGCAGCTCCGGGTTGCCCCCGCCAGGCGACGCCGCCGGCCTCTGCAAAAAGCGCTAATGGAGCTGATAGCGGCCGATATGCCACGTACGCACTGTCTGGCCGCGCACGGGGCTCCACAGCTGCCACGGCAGTTGCCGCTCCGGCAGCTGCTGCCTCCTCAGGCGCAGCACGTGTGGCAGCTGGGCCGCTGCTGATTTGCCACCTGTAGCAGCTTGTTCTATACTGCGTTCTGGTATCCCTACCTAAAGCCGGTGTTTTACGGCAGCTCTTAATGATGTACCATTTTGTGTAAAAGCTGTCGGATGCCAATTAGAGGCTACTTAATTACTTAAAATTCGAACAGTTTTACGTTTCCACTGTTAAAGTCATCCCATGTTACGTCGTTTTTTACCCGAAAGCGGGCAGATCGACTTCACCAGAACCAAAGTGGCGGTCAGTCTGACCAGACCCTGTGCGGCAGTCAGTCTGACCGGAGCCGGTGCAGCAGTCAGCCTGACCAGACCCTGTGCAGCAGTCAGTCTGACCAGACCCAGTGCAGCAGTCAGTCTGACCAGACCCGGTGCAGCGGTCAGTCTGACCAAACCCGGTGCAGCAGTCAGTCTGACTAGACCTGGTGTAACAGTCAGTCTGACCAAACCCGGTGCAGCAGTCAGTCTGACCAGGGCTGGTGCAGCAGTCAGTCTGACCAGGGCCGGGGCAGCAGTCCGTCTGACCAGACCCCCCAGTGCAGCAGTTGGTCTTACCAGGGTCAGTGCAGCAGTCAGTCTGACCAGACCCAGTGCAGCAGCCAGTCTGACCAGACTCGGTGCAGCAGTTGGTCTGACCAGACCCGGTGCAGCAGTTGGTCTGGCCAAACCCGGTGCAGCAGTTGGTCTGACCAGACCCGGTGCAGCAGTTGGTCTGGCCAAACCCGGTGCAGCAGTCAGTCTGACCAGAGCCGGTGCAGCAGTCAGTCTGACCAGGGCCGATACAGCAGTCAGTCTGACCAGAGCCAGTGCAGCAGCCAGTCTGACCAGACCCAGCGCAGCAGTCAGTCTGACCAGACCCGGTGCAGCAGTCAGTCTGACTAGACCCGGTGCAAAAGTCAGTCTGACCAAACCCGGTGCAGCAGTCAGTCTGACCAGAGCCAGTGCAGCAGCCAGTCTGACCAGACCCGGTGCAGCAGTTGGTCTGACCAGAGTCAGTGCAGCAGGTGACTGCACAACACATGCCAGAACCGGTCTAGCCGGCTCTAAGGTCAATTGATAAGCTCAAATATAAGGCTGAGGTAGTATATGCCTATTCCGGGGACTGTCAAAGTCAACACGTTTAGGAATGAAGGCGCTGGCGTTTTTCTTCCATCTTACGTTGGTTTATTTGTATCGACCATATAACTTTAAAAGTGCTGCGTTATAAGCACCTCTTACCGTAAGCGATCATATCATTAACACTTTATACCTGATAAACATGTTTTGGTGGAAATACAAATATGTCTAAAACTGTGCTGATATCTTTCTGAATTCAAATCGTCATCAACTCCGTGTGGTGCGAGTCTTGAATCTTGAGTCTGAGTCTGGGCAACGACCCCGCTCAGGCGAAAAAGGGCACAAGTCTCATTCCGTGGAGACACATTTGTGCGTTAACATTAAATGATCAGACGACAAAAAAAGATACAGTCGTTGTCGATATTACCCATGGCGACGA